GATTTTTGTCTCAAAGACTTAACTACGTAACCTAAATCTAAAAACATAACTCTGTCCACTTATCAGTGACTTCACAGATTTCTGCCATGTTTTCGATTTGCCGCTCCTAACTTTCGTCCAACCTAATACTGAAACTCAAAACATAGCTCGTCGAGGCATTCATTTGATCAAAACAACTTCGAGTAGGATTCTCTGTTAAAAAGGCAGCCCTTAATTGGCGAATGGAAGTGCAGCTATAAGGTAAGAAATCACTATTGTTACCAGTTGCCGATTATCAGCATTCAGGCATCAGTAGTTGCTTCTTATTGTTCATATGCATCGTTATATGCTGTCTGACGATCAAGTATATATATAAATAGAACCTATGGCTGTATTCATATTTTATAAGTCTAAGCTCATCTTTACTTAGGCAGAGTGAGATTGAGAATTCGACTGATGATGTAGTAGTGATGCATTATCGCTGTGTTTTGCGTACACGTTGAATATACATTAGAAATGCAGACTGATTATGCGCCTGAGCGTGAATGGGCAGAACCTATAACGAACAAGTGAGAATTCAGATACATAAGTTATGACTTTTGTCCACTAATTTCCATTTTCTCAGGCAAACTGGCATTCTTCATTTTTTTGCAGTTATGCCCCAACAAGAGATAATGGCTGATCTGCAGACACCGAAATTCAGTGGATGAGGTTTAGTCAACCCAAGTTGAGTAACATCCAACTATTGAGGTAACTAGCAATCAGCTTTCCTATTTCTGTCTATCTTTTGATGACAAGATATTGTGTTTGATCTTCAGTAATAGCACGAAGGACACACCTCTGCGCTAACCTTAACTAGATTGAAATTATCCGTCAAGAAATCAACGAAAAAGAAAGGTAATATCCGCTACTTGCAATGCCGTTCACGTGTTGGATCAAGTGTGCCTGATACATCTCACAAAATGTGGTTGATTTTACTACCCTCATATCACTACTCCATTCCATTCAGTTTATTTTCATACACTATTCGTCTGTTATCCTTACATTTCTGTCTTCCTACAACATATGCAACACCAATCAGACAATCAATTATTGGTTTCTGAAACATTCATCTTTGCATTAGAATTTGCTTTATTAATCTCCATATCTTAACAAGTTTATCTCTGTCCTCCTAATGTGATGGCTGCTCAAAAGTCACAAATGCTCTCTACAGAGCAACGATGTGCGCAAAACTACTAATAGACACTAAAATAACTAACATCATAGCAGGTGAGTAACAAGACTTCGAACCGTAAGAAGGTAATATAAACCTGGGATTTTGATAAAAGAAAAAGAAGTGAGATAAAAGAAATCAATCGGTTTATACGAGCAAGTTATAAAATGTTGGATATTAAATTCTAAAAATGTCATGGTGATTATTTGGCGGAAAAACGAAATCCTACAATGACTTTACGACCAATAAATACTTGCTCCAGATTTGAAGAGATAGACTCCAAAGCTGATAAGAATGGCCTAAGACATGCTGTATTTTCAGTAAATGGGGACAAATACGTGGGTGAATGGAAACACAACAAGCGTCATGGTAAGTATTCCATTTTGATGATAACTTACCGTACCAAAAAAGCAAGAAGCGATAGCCAAAATACGTTCTATTCCCACTAGATCATTGAATTAATACTATCTATCACTTGAATTACAATCTTACAGAATATATACATACTGATAATTCTGCATCTTTTACGTAGCTGCACATTCACACCGCTACAGGTTCACAAGAACATGTTATTATAGCTAGCATCTGACCTAGAAATTCAAAGCTATCATTCAGTAGTGTAGGTCTGTTTTTTAACCCAAAGTATTAATGAAATACTCGTACCTGAATTCGGCACTCGCCCTATTACCGAGAATCCTGAGTTTTGTTGGAGGCGAGGTTTTCGATGCACAATGCCGAGAATTCTACGATGAAACGAAGCAAGCGCCCAGTGTTGTTGATAATTACTCGACTACGTTCAATTCAAAAACCTATGGCTTGATAATCACAGTAAATTATTATCTATTTATTTAGTAGCCGTGTACATCTGTAGACGGTGTACTTTTAAAGTGAATAGTCTCTGTACATTCTCATTTCTTACTCAATATTTCAAATATTAGGCGTACATAAGGAACTTAGCATCAATGTTAGGATGGGGAAACTGGCTTATCTGGCCTGAACTAACTGAATTTTCGGGAAGTTTTCATTTCCATTTAAATGGACTATCAATATATTCATTTGTGGTGGACAAAACGTAATACTTACTATATCGAAACTTCAAGCTGTTTTAATGTTGCACTTATCAGCAAGTCCTAAGCGGGTAGTTTTATGGATAGTTGGATTGGTTTTATATCAGTCCTATTTGTTTCTAACTAAATGTAGAAGAATTTATTCAAGGAATTCAAACTTATAGGTTTCACTAGTTTGAATATGTTGGTTTTATACATTTTTAAACATACTACCTTTTTCTATCATTTACACTGCCAAGTAATCTTAAACTTTTATAGATACGTTCATCTATGAGTATTAATTCTTTACGCATATTAAATATTATCAAGACACCTAAGTACTAGCCAAATTATCTTCATTCGCCAAAATTTCCTGATATGAATATTACCGTAATCTATTTTGTAAAGGTCGTGGTATTTACGATTCGAAAAAAACAAACCTTGTTTATGAAGGTGACTGGGAAGACAATATGCGAAGCGGGTCTGGCGTTTTGACCCTGAAGCATGAGGATGGAAAACAAGTAATTGTTTATTCAGGATCCTGGAAATATGACAAACGGCATGCAAGTTCTACTAAATATCATTAACGATTTTCCAAGGGTTATGGAAAAAACTGGTATTCAGAAAATAAAATATATGAAGGTGAGTGGTGTAACGGAAAGCGTTCTGGATGGGGAAGAATGTACTACCCTGATGGGAGTATTTACGAGGGACAGTGGTTTAATGATAAACGACATGGAGATGGAATGCTTAGACTGGGTAAATTGAAACAATGAAAGTAGAGTTTCCAGCAAATGAAAACAGATTTGAGGGACAATGGTTAAATGATAAAAAAAACGGAGAAGGAAAATACTTTTTCCTAGACACAGGCCAATTAATGGAGGGGATATGGTGTGATGATATACCGAAATCTTCTCAAATTTCGGACCACGGAAGGCAAGTAGCGAAAAGGCCAACGGAGTCAGAAATACCGGAGGTAAAATTTTATTTTCTAATATCCTCAACTAGCAACATCACTGCAATTTTATGTTTTCGGATAAAGGAAGGAATACGAATGATTAAAGAAATGTCTCAAGTGACTAATACCTATGTTTAGGAGTAGCGTATATAGTTATATCAACAAACCATTGGAAAACAACACACGAAAAGTAGCTAGAATATAATAAGGTACCAGATAGTAAAGCATAATACAATGAAACATTGCGAGAATTGAGACAAAGTACATAATGAGTCAACGGTAAAAATATACTAGATATTTTCTACCGTTAAAAAGAACGATTTTTAAAAGCAAAATCATCAAGGATAAGCAATATATGTTTTGGAAATAAAATCTAGCGGAGTTCTTATCACGAAGGTTTAATATATACTCCATAAGTAATATATTCAAGTAGTTGACGCGAAAATTCATTAGATGTGACAGTTATGTTTCTAACGTCGCACAAAATAATGCTACTCGACATATCTAGGACATTTATAAAAATGATAATCTATGCCCAATGCATTTTCAGCAAGTTCACGTCATGCAATCCGTTTGTTTACCAATGAACATTGCACTTCAAACAGATTTGCAGAAAGAAAAAGTCCATAACTTGACCACGTTTAAAATAGAGCTCAATGTATCAGATACAAAACTGGTAACCTTGTCAGTAATACAACGCAATACTTGATAAAAGGATAAATCTAGGCTATTGCTAAAAGATATATAAGGTTACATATGAAACGTTTGACCAAGTACTAATAATTTATAAACCACCTCCAGGTACCTTAAATTATTTGGTATTCGCTGCTAGACATCCTTTCAATAATTGCTGATAACCAGCCCCAATCTTTCGTGAAGTTTTTATCCCGAGCACTACAGAAATGATGATGTCACCCAACGCACAGACGGTAAATCGAGAGCTTTCCACCTATTTTGTGATCGGCTCACCCTTTCTCGCCTCAAACCACTAATGAATCCGTGTTTTTGAAATTTTCGCAACTGATGTCATGTTCAAATGGCTTGTCCTAGCTTTTGAACAAACTGTTCAGCCTTCACTGCCAGAGTAGCTAATCAAGTTTTTGATCCTGTCAATTAGTTGCTTGTCACGTGTCTAGCTTATTTTTGTTTGACTATAAATGCTTCCAAAAAATCACTTTGTAATCCTAACATTTGGATAAAGCAGAACTCGATTACGAGCGATATCACAAATGTTCATGATAGATGAACGAATAAAATATTTGTTTGTCAGGAACTAACAGATTCTTTTAATCACCTCATATTACGTATATTTTCATTTCAGATAAAATTAAAAGATCCTAATGGTGTCCTCAAAGAAGCACAAGACAAATTATTGAAAATGATACGTTCCAAAAACCGTGAGAGTTGTTGAAGGGAAACCAAAATAATTTGTTTCTTTTGTTACGATTGAAGCTAAGACGCAGTTGCACACAGCTCACTTTGTACATACACAAATATCAGTTATAGTAAGTAAACTAACAATATATGATTTATTCAGAAAATACAAATCCAGTATTATAAGGCTTAGAAATACAATGAATCGGTAAACAAATATACAAACTTTACAAAGTAATAATATGGATAGAAAATGCACCCAGAAGACTGAAAATGTGGTGGTAGTAGTAGTAATAACAGTGTAAATGCGATTATGTAAATTGGAACACAGAATATTTTTAAGTTCAAACATTTAAAAAATAAACTTATTCTGAATGTTAAGGTAGACAAATCTTTTCAACAATTAACGACATAGATAACTGCTGATTACTTATTCAAAATCTCCCATTTGAAGTGGTTGTTTAACACTATGAGCCTCGGGGAAGCGTAAACAATACTTGGTATCTCGTAGGAATTTCACAGTCAACAGTCGACCTGCGGAAAAAAAGAACAGCAACAATAAATGAGAACGGGCATACGAATAGGGTCTCACGTCGTCTTAAATTTATGCATGAAGAATGACACGTGCATATAAATATATAATTTTTTTCACTTTATAGTGGTGCATGAATTTATAGAAACAAAGGGCATCCAAAAAAGAATAAATCAATCAATTCCAACCAGCAATTAGCTAGTTCAACCTTAGATAATCAAGCCTCATATCACTGCCACGAGTCAATCAGAATAATAAAATACTTAGTCCGCGTTATTAAACCACATGAAACTGTGAAGGTAGAATAGGATAACCCAGAACTAATACAAATGATGAACGTAGAGAACACTAATTTTTTACATACATATTCGAAAAACTGACGCGGTGGCTTTAGAACTAAGTGCTGTCTAACTGAACCTTTTACACCTTTCACTGGGCTAACAGGGAATGTCAGCTTGTATCAGGTTATAAGTTGAGTGTGACCAACATCTCCAGAACGGCTTTTTAAGAAACTGCAATTTTTAAAATGTCGAGAAGTGAATCTGTTGTTTTTCGTTTCTTTAGAACTACTGTAGAAAAAAAACTTCTGAACGAATAGATCAGAACCTGATGCAAAACCATTTAATGACACCATACGGATACTTATAAAAAGCTGAACAACTCCTAAAGCATATAAAGGAGCATCTTTTCATACGACAAACAAACAGATTGATAAGGTTATCATATATATCGTAGCTTACCATCAAAATAATTAGCGTGTATAGAATGGAAAACGCGACCTGCAGTTTCTGGATCTCCACACTTTATATAAACTAATCCCTAAAATAAATAATAAACATAGTGAGTCTAAAAGTAATAATATATATCTACTTACCATTTAAAAAAAAGTCATTCGAACAAATTAAGCGAAAATATATACAAGTTAGTTTTATGAAATCGTAGCAGCTACCTTGACATGGTGGCCAAACTTGTTCATCATGATAACTCAAACGAGCTGTATCAGCTGAGACAAATGCTTCTTAAGGTCCTATCATACCAGACAGTATGGTTGAAGAACTGTAAGACTAAAAGCAGATTTTCGGGGACTGAGTAGTACTGCCGAACGGAGGTATGATAGCAGTTAAGTTTTTCTCTCGGATAACCAGAAACCGCAGAGATGCTGCCTTATAACGGGATGAAACATTTAGGATCGGTCGATCCTAGAAATGTAACACCCCAATTCTTTAGAATTTTTCCGGTTTAAGATTAAAATGTTTTGCCTATTAAATTCCTCAGTTTTCTAAATGCACTGATAGTAGGAGTAACAAATCGCTTCACTACTAACCTAAGTTTATGCATGTGTCGGTAGCGAGTTAGAAACCAGTGCCATTATTCTAAAGAATTACTGGATAATGAGCAAAAGAACTTTGCTAAAAGTTTTAAAACTGGGTAATTTTTAAAAAGGATAAATGTCATTAGAAGGCTATAGAGATTGTAGGGTTTCATTGAACTAATTCATCCAACAATGCTAGACTACCATTATAAACCTGGAAGCATCGGACGGTCACTCTCTTATAGTATGAGACTCATTAGTAAGGCACATCCACGACCCCGACCGCGGTTACTTATCGAAGATAATGAAAGAGGTCGTGCAATATCGTCTAGCATTGATCAATTCATGATTTTAACGAAAGTACAATGATTACTTGGAATAAAACTACAGTTGTGTATTGATATTTGTAGTTGAATTTTCAAGTAAGCCAATTTAAAATTACTGAAGATCTATATAGCCCAGTAACACAGTATATTTAGTTACAAAAATAACACACCAACCAAGATATCAAAATTCATGTAATTGGATCCAGTTAAAACATAGGATTAAAAAAAGTAATATGAACAATACTTGTTTGATGGCTTTACTTAAATAATTTTGTAAAATTACTTACATTTGTTCCAACGCTATCTAAGCCGATATGTAAAATAGGCCCACAGGGAAGTAATTTTCTCAGGAGTTCACGTTTTATCCTTTTACGTCCACGTTCATCGATACTTCTGTGGTGTTATTGAAAACCAGATACATTATTAGAAACATGTTATATGGTCTCGAAATCACATAAAATTTACATAATATCACCCAATAAAAAGTATCAACATATGTATGACAGTATTTGAAAAAACTCTGTAAATGAAGATACTTACTCAGTAGAAAACATGTTTCTTATTTTCAAACACTCCGTTGGTGGAACTATAAAACTTGGCTTCTGTGACTTATCCATAAGTGCTGTAACATGAAAAAGGAATATTATATAAGCCATCAGATATATATATATATATATATATATATATATATATATATATATATATAACCACCAAACATTAGTTAACAGAGAAGGGAAATGTTTCAGTACTTCGCGTTTGATAGAGCTGACCGCTTCACTTATCTCTGGAGTCTCATCAGTGCTGGTGGCCTGGTGACTGACGAAATCTCAGCACGGATACAGAAGGCTCGATTGGCTTTTGCCAACTTGCGTAAATTATGGCGTAGACGAGATATCCGTTCACTAAGCAAAAGACGAGTCTACTACGCAGCAGTTCGCTCCGTCCTACTTTATGGCTGTGAAACATAGCCAGTAAGAGTAGAGGGTATTTGTAGGTTAGTGGTATCCGAGCATAGGTGTCTCAGATGCATTGTTGGTATATCCTGGAACGACCGAGTAAGCAATGCTGTCGTTAGGGAACGAGTGCTAGGTCAGGTCGGCAAATCAATAGATGAAGTATTGAATATTCATCAATCGAGATGGTTGGGACATGTGTGTACGAATGCCCGACTACCGACTGCCTCGACGAGCTATGGTTTGTGGTGTAGGAGTAGGTTGGATAAAAGCTAGGTGCGGCCAAACCAAGACATGGCACAAGTCCATGATTTCACTAACAAGTGAACTGAGTCATGTCGGTAGGTGTCGACTACCTAGTTGGGGTCTGCGAGACCATACTAACCGATGGTCAGAGACCTTGAACGACATAGCTCAAGACGGTTTGTAATGGTGCATGTGCATCCTCTCTTTATGTTCTCCGAAATTCTAATCTCCACCACTATGGGGTTTGAACTAACGGTTGCGCCTGTGCTAATCCGGTTCGGCAATCTGAACTGATATGCGTGCCTTACGAAGTTGTACGTTGTTGCTGACTGACTAACTGATGATTTATTTTCGGTGACAATTACTAAGTTCATAAATTCTAGTCTTAATCGATATATAACGGATTAACTTAAACAAAATTTCGATTCTATGGGGATTATCCATCAACAGAGTTCCTATTACTAAACTGCATGGAAGAAAATGATAGTCTCGTCCACTATATTGAATGCAGAGTTGCAAAATAGTGACTTTCAGTATAAGCATGTGTTCGACCATAGAATCCTTTCAATTCAGTCCTATTAAATCTAACGTCAAGAGTCGGGGTAGGTAGCAATAGAGTGGTCGTAAGATAGCACTGATTTACAAATATTTCGACATGTACAAATGAAATCATAAGATCCTAAAAATAAACACGCTCTCGAATAAAGCACTAAGGCATTGAATGAATTCATTTCAATCCTGTAAAAATGAATTCCTTGTCAGATAGAATATCAGCAGATGGAAAAGTCGTTGATGATATTGTTGAAACCGCGTTATTCCTGAGAAGTAATTAATCAGGTGATATATAAAATGAGCATAATAATTTTAGTAGAACCTTTCTTCAATATGATAAACAAACTTAAATCCTCTTTTTGGAAAATAAAAAGTACACTATGATTTGCCATAGAATCTGGACGTACGCTATTCGCAGCATATTTATATAAAGGAAGAAACGATTTGTAGTCTAGTAGATAGTATGATGTTATTACATTTAAGCTATTATGCTATTTATCTACTCGCAAATGACCGTATACTGGAAATTTTATCTCAAAAGCTGAGCATTTGATACAGTCGATTAATTACATACAGGAGACACATAATACATAGATGTTTGGAATGTGAATGTTTGAAAAGTTGGTTACGAATGACAACACGACTGAAAACGGTAACCAGTCACACATCATCGAGTTCAAAGACCAATAATACAATAACGATTGTATATATACAAAAGTAAACCGAAATGAGACCAATGGCGAATAGCACATTGAAATAATAATAACGAAAAGATTGATAGTAAAAAATTTAGCGTCGAAAACTACACATGACGAACAAAAATTCCAAGAAAGTGAAGAATCTTATTTCGATAATAGCATACACTTATTTTATGATCTTATGCAATATCATTTACCTGAACCTTGCCAACCTGTGCCACTTTGCCATTGCCATGTCTCACCCACACCTCTCCATTCTTGTACACCGATACAAGTTTCTACTTCATAAACATAACGCATAACTTCATGCCAAAACCGATCTAAGCTAAAACAAGCAAGAAACAAAAATTTCGTGGCTAGAAATAAATGTAACATAACTGTAACGAATAACTTTCCTCAAAGTTTGCTGTTATTGTACAATATCATTAACACGTACATTGTTTTCTACAATCTCCCTGATTCGCTATTGCTATTTTTTTATGATCACAAGTTTCATTGACTAATTGCTCACCCCTTATTGATTTGTGATTGTTGGGATATATATACAAGAGATAAAGGTGGTTATCATCTTACTGCATGTTAAAGTGTGTCCTACATTTCAGTTGCACCGAATAAAATTCAGTTTCATTCAACTCCAACCTTTACATTACTCACATTACCTAACTAAACTATTCTGGATAGCTGTATACAAGAAAGAGCAATAGAGAAGTACAGTATTTAATGGTTTGCATTAAACAAGTACGAAATCAATAAAAGTTGTAAAGTGCTTCTTATCATTATCATTTCCGAAATTCCTTACTCTTGAATTGTCACAACCGTCATTTACAGCTTGAGCATTGAAGTAATAACTTTACTCAATAAATAATGAGAAAGGATTTAAAGATATAGTGGGAATGGAAAAAACTTAATGAATCTCCTATATATACTCAAATAATATCGAAAGAACGACAACAAACTACTCTGCTTATGAATGTGTTAAATAAACGATAATAAGTGATTCAGAAGTTGACAAGGGATGTAAATTATTGATTGGTAGTTAATACTTTTCCAGATTCAGTGATACAATTTCCAATCGTTTTACGTACATTTATTGAATAAATGCTAATTTATTGACTCAAGCGTAGCTTCAAGTCTACGCATTAGACATTCGCTCAACAAAATTACATGTACTGTACTATAAAGCATGTTAACATATTATTAACAAGTACTACTAACATAGCGTACATACCCGCCTTTTATAATGCTAGCTAATTTGTATGACTCACTTTAAAGCTTAGTCACAAAACGAAGAAGTGAAACTAGTTCGAATTTCAATGAAGCCTAATAGACAAGGATAAATTCATTTGCTCTGCTTTGAGACAATTTCAGCAAGTGAGGTCTAGAGTACACTTTGACCTGAGACTCAATAGTTGAAAGCTAGCGTTTTAACCAAATTAGTGGTACAAGACTATTATTGTGTAACTGTTAAATCATATATAAACATGGGGTAGGAACATAACAGCATAGTCTTGTAAGGTGTTTTATTCAGTCTTCAAAATATTTTCGACACAGTATTGTTAACTAAAGTAAAAATAAATATGATTTCTATACATAATAAGCTGAAAGATAAGTAGAACAACAGTGTGGCCGTAGATTTTTGTGTTGAAATATGACTGATTTCTTATTTATAAAGTTTATTAATTGTAGAAACATCGAACAGACGAAAAATAATCACTACTTACTCGTGGTGTTTTTGCCGTAAGCGTTCACGAATCATATAGACAGGGACATATGGAGGCTGGTTAGCATTGCTTTCATTTTCTCTTAACTGGTCTTGTAACATGTCTAATTGCAGGCACAAAGACAACATAATAAAGGCGAAAAAGAATTAATGCAGAATTCAGTATAGATTAATTTCTGTTGTACTACAGATATAGCATTTAGAGACAATTCAAATTTAACACAATTTAATCTAGGGGCATACTTACTTACGCCTGTTACCCCCAATGGAGCATAGGCCGCTGATCAGTATTCTCCAACCAACTCTGTCCTGGGCTTCCTTTCCCAGTTTTGTCCAATTTTTGTCCATTCCTCCTATGTCTTTCTCCATTACTCTGTGAAGCGTTTCTTGACCTTCCTCTTTTCCTTCGTACACGTTGCAAGTGAGGACTTGTCTTGTGACGCAGTTGAGTGCTTTCTGCAGTGTATGTTCTATCCACTTCCGACGAATCCGAAGTTTTTTGCGTAGATAATTGTTAATGAATACTTGTATTTTATGGATGATAGCTTTCGTACTTTGATAAGTTTCCGCTCCATACATTAGAACTGTTTTGACATTTGTATTGAAAATTCTGATTTTGATGTTGGTTGGTAGTTGTTTGGAGTTCCAGATGTCCTTCAATTGTAGAAATGCTGTCCTTGCTTTGCCGATCCGCGCCTTCACATCCGCATCAGATCCACCTTGCTCGTCGATGATACTGCTCAGATACGTAAAGGTGTTAACGTCTTCCAAGGCATCTACATTAAGTGTGATTTGTTTGGTGCATGTTGTGCTTTATTGGAGAGTCTTGCTTTCCCCTCTGTGCACGTTGACATCTGCTGCTACACTGGTCGTCTTCTCCAACATTTGTTCTGGCGTGTGCGATAGAAGAACAAGGTCATCTGCGAAGTCCATATCGTCCAGATGCACCCTGGCTGTCCACTGTAAACTGTGATTCCCTCCAGATGTGGAAGTCTTCACAATCCAGTCGATCACCAGGAGAAAGAGAAAGGGCGACCTCGCCTCACAACGGTCTTCACCTCGAACGAGTCTGTCAGCCCTCCTCCGTGCACAATTTTGCCGTTTAATCCATCATCAGAATTCTGTATAATGTTGACTATCTTCTCAGGCACGCCGTAGTGTCGAAGAAGCCTCCACAGTGTTGTCCTGTCCACGCTATCAAGTGATTTCTCGTTGTTAATGAACTTGGTAAAGAGTGGTGAATTCCATTCAATTGATTGTTCCACAATGATCCGTAGTGTTGCAATTTGGTCAGTACACGACCGATCGTCACTACTTAATCCAACCTGTTGATCTGGAAGGTGGGCGTCTACGAAGTCCTTCACTCTGTTTAACAATACCATGTTGAAGACTGCCTGGAATTGAGAGTACAGTGATGCCTCTGTAGTTCTCACACTTGCTGAGATCGCCTTTCTTTGGTATTTTGATGAGGTATCTTTCTTTCCAGTCTGTTGGTACTTGTTCTTTATCCCTGATCTTGTTGAAGAGAATGTGGAATATTTGTGCAGTTGCTGCCACGTCTGCTTTCACTGCCTCTGCTGGATGTCTGATCACGCTGCTTTGCCACTATTGATTTGTCTGACGGCCATAGTGATCTCTTCAATTGCTGATGGGCCAACATCGATTAGGAGGTCCGTAGATGCTGCTTTAAAGTTGGGTGGGTTCAGTGGAGCTGGTCAATTCAAGAGTTCTTTAAAGTGCTCTACCGACCTGTTCCGCTGTTCTTCACTATCGCTTATTACTTCTGAAGAAACTTGGTTTCCATCAAGAGACGTCACAACTCTTCTGAATGAAGACCTAACTCCCAGGGCAGAGTTAAAGTGGTTTAAATTATGTTTTCTGGTTAGCGTTTTTTTAGCGATTTAGTCTTCTTCGGAATGGGGTCGCCTACCCCATGTTTAAACCTCCTCCTTTATCCGCTCGTTCAATTTTTGGTATTGCATCTGGTCTAAAGCCAAAAATCGCCTTCTCCGTGTCAATTCCTTTTGCAGTTAGTAATATCCTGACTGTTGGTACAATATCATGAATACTGGCCTTTTGAATGCGGTTTGGTGTTTTCACCACACTCGGTAATGTAAAAGATCTCTTCTGTGATGTTATTTAATTTTTTCAAGTCTGAGCAAAATCTGCATATAGCACCCTATCTCTAATTCAGTCGAAATAGCGAACCGCATGAACTATTAGTATCTTCAAACAACCCTAACTACTTCTTTCACCTGACGACTAATTGCCGTTGGAGTATGTCATAATATTTACAGAATACTAATGGATCTAGTTAATATCTAGAATAAAGACCATCAGTACTCTTGAGGGGGTAGCTATGTATTACTATCAGGAGAAGCATAATGTGCATGAGTCAGTCGCAAGCCTGGTACATAAGTGGATCAGTTCAAGTTTCCGTATCCCATTAGTAGAAAGATATGAATAAGTTAATTGAAACCCAACAGTGGTAGAGGTGGTAGCAGTATTAGCAGTGATCGAAATGATTAGAGTTGGAAAGGCATGATCCAGTGAAATAAATTTCAAAAGTGAAAAAATAGTCCCGAGCTCGCACGGTTATGAGAGCAGACAAAGAATGGATGCACTTGTGCCATGGCAAACGTCGGTCTACATCTACCGACACGACTCAGTTCACTTGTTAGTGAAATCATGGACTTGTGCCATGTCTTGGTTTGGCCGCACCTAGCTTTTATCCAACCTACTCCTACACCACAAACCATAGCTCGTCGAGGCAGTCGGTAGTCGGGCATTCGTACACACATGTCCCAACCATCTCGATTGATGAATATTCAATACTTCATCTATTGATTTGCCGACCTGACCTAGCACTCGTTCCCTAACGACAGCATTGCTTACTCGGTCGTTCCACGATATACCAACAATGCATCTGAGACACCTATGCTCGGATACCACTAACCTACAAATACCCTCTACTCTTACTGGCTATGTTTCACAGCCATAAAATAGGACGGAGCGAACTGCTGCGCAGTAGACTCGTCTTTTGCTTAGTGAACGGATATCTCGTCTACGCCATAATTTACGCAAGTTGGCAAAAGCCAATCGAGCCTTCTGTATCCGTGCTGAGATTTCGTCAGTCACCAAGCCACCAGCACTGATGAGACTCCAGAGATAAGTGAGGCGGTCAACCCGCCGAAATACTTCATTCCTTATCACAAGCTCAAGTGCCGACACAAGACAATCCTGAAGCAACATTTTGCATTTCGAGGGTGAAATCCACTTCCCGAACATGCTTCCATTGTTACTTACGATGGTCAGAACACTGCATTTTGTCAGCGTCTTCACCGAATAAAACTATGTCATCGGCATATTCTAAGTCAACGGGTGAATTTCCTGGTAGAAAGTCGAATCCTGATAAGTAAGACGAAGATGATGTTAACTCTAAAAGTATATATGACAAAGGTGAATGAGTTTGAAGATAGTGGACAGCCCTGACAAACACTACTTGAGGTAATCAATTCAGTTGACAGTGAGCCATAAGCTGTAACTCGACCTGTAGTGTTGGAGTGAAAAGCTTGTATAAGGTTAATGTACTTCTCTGATACACCTTTCAATGACAGGCACTGACACAGAATCTCACGATCAAAAGAGTCGAATGCTGCTTCAAGATCCAGGAAGACAACTACTATGGACCATCTGAACGTGTATTTGTGTTCTAGAACCTGTCGAAGTGTGACTATCTGGTCTATACAGCCACGTCTAGGTCTGAAGCCATACTGGGTTTCTCAGGCTGCGTTTCATAAGCTCTAGTATTATTGAACTGTGGTTAGGTGTACAACTAATGAAGCAAATGATACCCAGTTACTTGCACAATTAAAATTTTACAAAACTAATTTTTAATAAGTAAAGAAATTAATAGACAATTTTTAAGGTTCATAATGATATCGTACTTACACACAACTTCCGCAACTAGCTCCCTCACTCGACAATTTCGACGTTCCAAGGCGCGTAATCTTTTACAGCGAAGCAGGTAAACTCCATAGCAAATCCCCAAAATCATCAAGAAAACTAAGACGACCCAGAGCAAAGTTACACATGCACTAGTAAACCAGTGGAAACACCGTCGGAGGCGACAAACACCAGGAAAATATGGTCTAAGACTTTCGAGCTCAGTGATTTGCATTACTCGACTGAATAAATAAACAAAATAACACACCGTTTATAAAGTTAGGTATGGTTAAAGAACATCGTATTTTTGAATCTTGAATTGTTAAGAATACAGAGATAATGGCTCATTGAGATACTATGAAGTTTATTTGTATGATACAGGATTTACACGTACGTATATGGCTTAGTCCTACGAATGAATTAGTAAGCTATCTGAAGTTATTTCAAGCTAGCGAGTATATCATATTATCAATGCAAAGTTACTGCTTTTATATGCAAGATATCCTTCGATCCTAGTTGACTGTGATTTATGCCGCTACTACATAAAAAACCATCAGTTTTAATTTCAAATGGTGCAAATCCGAATGAGGCTTTACCGGACATGGTTCAAAATATCGAATAGAATGAAATAAAACTCATGTAAATGGTCAATTCATATCTGGTAGGATTAAGATACTAGAGGTACGTAGAACTCTGCCTCTTAAACTACAATAATGCCAACCATAAAACTTCAGAAAGTGAAGGAGCTAGAAATTCTTATCACATATTGATAAAACAATTGTTTATAATACTTAAAACATAAAAATATAATTATCAGATAGACCATTACAGCATTAGGATAAAAGCATTCAATTTATTTGACTGAATTACTTAAGTGGTCCGAGTTCAGATTTGGTAACATCAAGAGCAACAAGACTAAAATGTGTTTTCCCAACATGAAGCAGAACATAAAGTGTATTATCCCAAACTCGACGAAAATCAGTTTTCGGAAATGTTGGCCAGCCTTTCATTTGCAAATTATGCTCCACTAAACTTTGAGCAGAAGATACATCCAAACGAGGACTAGTTAATACTCCAACGTTACAATGGAACTCACCTAAAATGAAAAGTTATTATAACCGTAAAACGTTGTTATGAACAAAACTTGAAATGATGTACGTACGTACGAAGTTCTGTGCTGTTGACTGACTGATATGAACAAAACAAATAAACAAATGAATAGTCCTTTGAACACTTAGTAAACACATATTTAATTGGGATAAAAAATTTAGTGGAACTATGAGAACAATTACGTGTATTTAGTCCCGATCTACACTTTAAAAATTAGGGGGAGTGATAATACTTGATAGCTTGAGTCGAAGTGGTTCGCAAGTTTTAAACAAACAACAACAAAAAATCATCACGCATCGGAAATAGTGCCACTTCTGACACCGTCATCAGGATATTAGCCGCAACAGAACAAATCAGCAATGCCATATGATTTTTAAATATATCTTATACTTCCGACCGTAGCATCTATACAGACGCGGTGGTCGGGCATGCCTATTATGGTGACCCAACAAAGCTATAATGGCTGGAACATATGTTCCTGTAGGTTCTACCGAGCCAGGTAGGTCGATTGGAGGACGGTAAGACTGAAAGCAGCAAACTTAAGGTCCGAAGGAGAAGTCGTACAGCTGACTCCAGTAGGTAGACTAAGTGAAAAGGGCAAGACACCTGGGTGGGTCTTATGGTGTCGCGGCTCAGAGAACAGACAATAGCGACCGTCTGTAGCAATTGCGCTCAGATAACCGCCTATTTCTAGCAAACACTAACTTTAGGCATAAGGAAAAACATCTCTTAACCTGGCGACCTCCAAAGTTGTCTCAACGCTCAACCCAACTAGATCACATCGCCATCAGCCACTGATGGAGGGGTTCGATAGAGGACTGCCGCTCGTTCTGGGGCACATGTTTAGATTCAGATCATGCTCTAGTGCTGGCGTCTTACTGGACGTAATATAGACACTGCAAGCAAACCCTTTACAGTTTTACCTAATGATAGCAAAACCAAGATTATGTTTCAGGAACAACTAATAAAACAGTTAGGCGGCCATGTAAGTGATTCCTCATCCGGAGGTAGCTTGAAATGATATCCAAAAGACTGTGGAAACAGTAGTGATATCTGTTATAAAGGTAAGGTAGTGAAAACAGAAATGGAAAAGGCGGAGGTGAAAAGCAACAGTGGACAACTATTCCTACCTGGCGGGTCTCAATTACTGATTGTCACATTCTATAAGAAAGAGCAAAAGTCCTCTTGTGATAATAGTGGAGTAATTAGTTTAACTTATATATTGTCTAAAAGGTTAGCGTCGATAATACTTTGATGCCTAACTGCAGCTCATGAAATGCGAACTTGAGAAAACAAGTCTGTCTTCAGATATAAACTTGGCCGGATAGACCAGATATTCATACTTCGACAGGTTCTAGACACAGATACACGTTCAGATGGTCCACAATAGTTGTATTTCTCGACCTTAGAGCGAGGTTGTCGAAATGATGGAGATCGACAATTAGAGACTCTGAATGACGTGGCTCAAAACCATTCGCTATGGCACAGGTGCATCCATTCTTGGTGTTCTTTTAAATGTTAACCTGGATTCGAATTACTGCTAATACTCCTACTACCTCTATCACTATGGGATTTGAATAAACGATTGCCATCATTGGGCTATCTTTGTATGGCAACTTGAACTGATGTACGTACATACGAAGTTCTACGTTGTTGCTGACTTAATATATTATACTAGCTTATGAAAAATTCAGTAAAACTGATGAAAGGTACTTTTATAAGTTATGAAAAAATCTTACCAGCGTAACGACTGAGAATATCATACAAAATTCCAAGAACCGACAAGGATGCAGTGAGATCATCTTCATGGAGACAGTGCTGAATAAGCAAATAGAAATTACAACTAATCGAGCAAACTTACTTGTAGATTTTTTCTAAGACTATTATTGTAATCGTCTGATGATCGGCACAGTAATTTCTGTACATCTAAATAAACGTAATATAAAAAAGTAAATTAGCTGTAAGGACGCTTGTGAAAACTTTTGTTTACTCTCATACAGTAGATATACAAGTATGTAACACCAGTCAGTCAGTCAGATGCAACGTAGAGCTTTGTACATAAGTACATCAGTTCATGTTGTCATACCACATCAGCACAGAGATGTAATTGTCAATTCAAATCCAATAGTAGAAGAGGTAGTAAAGGTATTAGAAGTAATCGGAGGGGTTAGGATGAGAAGATATTATTCATGAAGTATGATTAAATGAGAAAAGTTTAGAAAGTCAAAACTAGAGGTGTTGAAGAATCCAGAAGATTAGGATTTGAGAGAACACAAAGAGTAAATGCACGTATGTAACACCAACTTTAATATAATGACAAATATACAAGAAATATATCTTATTATGGATAAATAATAGTACATGATACAGCCCTTTAAAATGGGCTCCAATAAATGACAAACTGTAATTGTAGTGCCACAGAAGACTAGTCGACATTACATTCAATGTAGAACAATAACAACGCATTTCAACAATATTCTCAACAGTGACGGTTGGTTGGATAGCAGATATTAGATAGTCAAGGCTGACGAGCACTATGTTTCGCTCTGAGAGTCAAGGAAAGCAGCACCAGCGGGAACGACCATATTTTATTTTGTCAAACAACTATAATTCGTATAATCTTAGATAGGTAACTAAATGCATGTCTTACAGAGATAACAGTGACTAGTTTTGTTAGTCGTCAAGAGAAAGTGGTAATCAACATATAGGTTAGACACATGAGGGGAGATTTCTAACTACAGTATTATTCGATTCATAAATAACAAGTGAATAATTGATATCGCGTTATGTTTGGTTATCAGGTACTTACTTTACGGTCTTCTATTCCTATTTAACACCTAGTCTCGTTTGCTGTGCTATTGTGATGGATTGCAACTTATATCCCGGCAGTAGCATTGAGTTTTATAGTAAATTAAACTAATAAATTAGTTTAAGGCAGATGGAAACAAATATTAATAAGTTTACTTAAATACTGATGAGTTGTTTTACATTAACATATTTGCTATGAAGATAACTAGATGAAACAAAACAACTGAGTTCAGTAATTAAAACGCTGATCGATTCATGATTTCAATAAAAAAACAGAATACTAATCTTACGGTTATTAATTTATGTATCTCTGATATAAAATTTAAAGTTTAAACAAATAAAGATGTCTTACCTGCCATTTTACCAACTTCCCCATGGTGATCCTTCAAGACTAAATAACTTGCAAGTAACACAAAACACACGATTATGCTTGAAATAAGAATCAGATTAGGGATGTTCGAAACACTGCAAGGTAGATACTTTCCAAATGAAAAATAATTTGGAAAGCTGTTCTTCTGAGTTTGCTGCTTTCTGTTACGAACAAGATCATTTAAATCAGTATCGTCAGACAAAATAGAAACACCGTGATATGTCTGTTTATCACGATCCCTAGATGGCGGAGTAAAGAGAAGACCAGGAGACGTTGTGATACCAGCATCTCGGGATTTCATGTTCCTGAAATCAGTGAGAAAAAAACGATATTTGGAATCTTACTAATGACACGTTTTGACAACAATTTGCAAAACTACACAACAGGAAAACAAGTCAACCAATTTAACCAACTGCAAAAGGAGTCAATTAGTATGAAACTAAACTATCTTAATTAGTGTTTGGACTGTCGTACTACCTATAATAAGCATGGCAAGCCTAAAATACTGGTTTTCTTGATCCTTCACATATCACGCGAAATGAATAAAAGTCAGTTTGTTTTAGGCTACAGGTGGAGTGATTAGATCAGTTCAAAACACAGAACTATAGATTGAACGATAGTCGTGTAACATTCGGATCCACTGGTTTGTTTTATCTTTACGGATAAAGATAAAAGTACTAGAGACTTCAAGTATAGTAGCTTGGAAGTACTTATACGTGATTAAGACTAGAAAATATTGGTCACTCTGCTGTAATTTTTTATTTTATTTATTTCTATTAAAGCCGTTCGTTATGGATTAACTTTCTAAGTGCGCTAAGAGGAAATTACTCGTTTGAGATGTTGAAAACGCAGCTCTACGGTTAATCACATCTGATTTTTCACAACACTAGCAGATATTTCAGAATCGGTTCCAAAAAATGTAAAATAACATGCTACGTAAAATGTTGTCTACTGAAATATCCACCATCGAAATTTTCCCAAAATAAGACCAGCTGAAACAAACCTGAATGGAGAAGGGCATAGCCTCCTGAAGAGAGGGCTTCGAGTGGAATTTTCTACATCAGAACTATCTGTATCTGATATTTGTAAACGATCATTGCTCTGTAAGGAATGACGAACACTAAGCTTGGACTTTTCATAAACAGACCCATTCCTTGGAGACCTCGGTTTTGTAAATTCATGAGCACTTCGATTGAGCCAACCAGCAACTCTGGACAGAGTGGATGAAACTGTACTTGGTTTGGATAATTCCTCGTCTGTATCGTCGTCTACGGAATCCTCTTTAAAATAAATATACCTTTTATAGGCGGGCGTATAATCACCCGAACTTTGAGTTAAGTCACGTGGAAACTTTCGTGCAGGAAATTGGTTACGTGATGAAACTGAAGTGAATGTATCTAAATCATTATGAAACGTATTCACAGGTTTCGCTGGGGATGCCTCCACTGGAAGTGAACTTGGAAGTATGTCAGTGTAAGGTTCCGATAAAACCTCATTGTGTCCAGTAAGAAGTGGTTTGGTTATGGAATATTGTTTACGAGGAATGTATGTGTTCTCGGACGCTGGGTTGAAAATTAAAAACAAACAATAAACAGTATCAGATTAGCACATGATCATACACAAGCTTGTTAATGCCATCATCTTTGAGGTTTCCAATTATTAATGCAGCTTGACGAAATAATCACGATCTTTATTCGTTTCCGAATGAACTTCAACGTGTTTAAAGTTGCATTCTACTTCACCGGTTGAAACTATAAAGACAACGTGAACAATACCCGATTTCTAAAACAATAAATGCGAATAATTACTATTGAGAACGTGAAACTTTCTGAATAGGGCTTTCCTACCTAGGAAGGGCGAATGGTGGTCCCTCTTACTTGGTGAAGTACGGTTTAGACCACTGACTAGGCACGTAGACCTTTCGGATAGACAGAGAGGCAGATAGAACGTGGAACTTCGTACGTACGTACATCAGTTGAGGTTTCCATACCGCGTAGACCTTTTGGGGCTACTGTGGGTCCCATGCCTGGATAAAGAGGGAGGGTTGGAATTACGGTTGGCGACCACAATCCCGCGAAAAATCAACTCGCTAAGAAACGCTAACACGAAAAAATGATTCAGACAATATAAACCCTGCTCTGGGAGTTAAAACGTCCTCATTTAGAAGAGTTAAGACGTTTCATGATGAAAGCCGATGCCCCTTCTGACAACCAGAGCCCTTCAATGGTGTGGGCAGCCCGGAAGTAACGTCCGCCCTCGTACCCATAAAATCACACGAGACCAAATCGTTCAGAATCATATCTTTTCTAAACCACATAATAACTCTCTTATTTCCAGAGATACAGAAGGCTTGGCCAGCTTTTGCCAACTTGCGGCACCTATGCACAGGGAAATATATGCTTGCTAACCTAGGGACGAGTGTACTGCGCAGCAGTAGGTTAATGGTGATCGTTGTAGATGAGTTCCAAGAATTGCTCGAATATCATGGGACAGCCAAGTAAGCAATGCTGTCATTAGGATACGAGTACTAGGTAGGGATGGCAGATCAATTGATGAAGTAGTGAAACTTCACTGAAAAGTGGACTGAGCCATGTTAGTAGGTGTCGACTACTTGGTTGGGATCTGCGAGACAAATGTCACCGATGGTTAGAGACCTTGAAACACATGGCTCGAAATCGTTTGCAATGGCGCAGGTGAATTCATTCTTTGTATTCTCAAATTCTAACCTTCTGAATTACTAATCGATATCTTTCTCTTTCTAAAGTTATCTCAGTGAATTATACTTTACGCATCATATCTTCAAACCCTAATCTTTTCCATTACTGGAAATACTTCTACCATCCCTACCGCTATGGGATTTGAACGGACATTTGCGTCTCTGTGCTGATGCGGTATGGCAACCTGAACTTAAGTAACTCACTCACTGACTGACTGCTAAAATGACCGCTTCTGACTTAACTTTCTCCATAATACCGATGATATCTGTTAGTACGGTAAACCATAAGGCTAGGAAGAAGCCGTGGATCTCAGTAGCATCTACCGAACTGATGGATGCTCGAAAACTCATCCCACCTGGCTCTGAATGCGATCAGGAGCGGAGTCGCCTTAGGCACATTCTGATAAAAAACCTACGCAACGATCTAGAACAGTGGTGGGTAGGGAAACCGAGAGAGATGGAAGAGGCAGCGGCGATAAGCAACAGTAGGCAACTATTCAGACTCATCAAGGAAACTGGTATTAGGAACCCGTATGTGAGTGAGACTATTTCGGTAAAGGATGCCTGTATCATTCATCATCAATCCAAGAGATTGGATCGATGGGCAGAACACTTCAGAGATCAGTTCAAATGGCCTTTAACCACACTTCGGTTACTCACAATCTCCAGTTATCCTGAATGGCAAATCGACGTAAGTCTTTATGAAGTTGAGAAAGCTGTAGGAAATCTGAAGCGAGGTAGAGCAGCAGGGCCTGAGAGATTCACCGCTGAGATTTTTAAGGACGGTGGTCCCGTTTTAATAAGATTGACTAAAATCTTAGGTGAAATCTGAGAACTGGGCGTGATACCGTCTCAAAGGTCCTTATCACATATTATCCCAATTTATAAGAAAGAACAAAAGTCCTCTCGTGACAAACACAGGGGAAGAAGTCTAACTAATATAGTTTCTAAATTGTTAGCATCGATTTTCCTTAGATGCCTAACTAGAGCTCGTGAAGAGCAGACTAGAGAAAACCAGGCTGATTTTCGAACTGGACGTAGATGTATAGACCAGATATTCACACTTCGTCAGGTCCTAGAACAAAGACATACGTTCACACGTACCACAATAGTTGTCTTCCTGGACCTCAAGGCTGCATCGATGGTTAGAGACCCTGAATGACATGGCTTTAAATCGTTTGCAATGGTGCAGGTGCATTCATTCTGTGTTCTCTCAAATCTCAAACTTTTCAATTCTTCGTCACTTTATCCTTACCTTTTTAAGTCTATTTCACTAGATTGTACTTCTTGAATAATATCTTCCAATCCTAACCTCTCTGACTACTGCTGATACCTTTACTACATCTACTAATATGGGATTTGAATGGACAGTTGCATCTCTGTGCTAATGTGATATGGCAACATGAGCGGATGTACGTACGTACAAAGTTCTACGTTGCTATTGATTGATTGGTTTGCCGTGTACGTTAGGACCAATGGATGAGTAATACTATAGGTATCTGGGGGATTTTTACTTACTGATGTGGTTAGGACATGTAATGCATCTGTCCAACTACTAATCTAAATATCAGATGTTGGATGAAGTAGGAGTCGGTTGGAAGATAGAGGTAGCCAAACCAAGTGGAAGCATTAGTCCAGGAAGCCAGTGATTATTGGACTAATACATGTCGGTGGGTATGGACCGCCTGGATGAGATGACATAGCTTAGGATTCACCACAATGCAACAGACCTTCACTCTCCTGAATCCCGTAAATCTCAAGTTTTGTTTATTTTACAACTTTTCATCCTGGAAACACAACTGACATTGTGTTACTGCTTCTAATACTTTGGGATTTGTCACTCACTCTTCATAATGAAGGATTTTTGCACAATAGGGAGCCACAGAGTGCATTGCAACAATGGACAACCTATCCGTTATTTGAGATCAATTTCGCATTATCACTTTACGATGATACGACAGAAAACACCAGATTACGAGGATAATATAAAAGTTGAAGGAACGTATTGTTCGGGAGCGAACTTAAGTCTAATGATAAAGGATAAAAAGCTACTTCTATAATGTACAAAATCTTGACTAGGACAGAAGACTATGGAATCAATGCTGGTTCCTATCCATATCGGATAGCGTTTACAGCAGCGAAACCTCTATGGCACTTTCGGGCGTTTTGGGTCATAATAAAGTGAAGAACTACTCATTACAACACTATAACATACTTGATTGTCAGCTACCTTATTATCAGTCATCACATGTCAATATTCTTCACATCTAGAAATCTCACAAATAGAAATGAATCTCTCTAGAACAACTTTTATTTTTATTATACACACCAGACAAGAGTGACAACTAAACACATGACTAAACCGCTTAAAATGCTTTACAACTCAACAACTTACAAGGAAACGTCTGTAAGTCAGAGTACCATACTAGTTACCTAACTTAAGTGGGCAGGAAATAGTTAATTGGAGGATCATCCGTGAATAAGTATTGAAATTATGGTCTTCCCAAATGTGTAATGGATACAACCCAGTACTAAACTGTGATAGGCATCTCCAGACATTCCCCACAAAAGTCTGATCATAACGTAAGCGTTTTTCACAAAATTTTACAGCAAATGTATACGTTAAAGACTCTTGGTCCAAAAAATTTACCTGCATCATGATTTGACAGTTCAGTTGTGTGCTTTCGATTGTTTACATTAGTATCTTCTGTCACTGCATGGCTTGAAATTACTGCTCCAATTGATTTGCGTGGCTTGGCAGATAAGCGTCTTGGAACTTCCGAATCTTCTGTAGTTAAAATACCTGCATTAGGCAACTTTTTCCCCTTTTGGAGCTTTGCGAGTTTCTTTACATACACAGACCTCGTAGTTGAAGTGATAGGACCAGGATCAAAGCCCAAGGTCTGAAGTTCCCTCCGGAGTTCATCGTCACCCAGAGGTGCTGCCATAAGAGTTTGTGTTAATGATAAATATGTGGGAAAACAATGTCTTTACAGTGTTGAAAATCAAACAGCCGAGCAAACGAAACTGGCAATAAACCGCTCTAGACTGCGGTACTTCGCAAACATCGATATCCAATATGTCGCGTCTCAAACAACAAACTTTAAACTTGGCTGGGTAGAGTTAGCAAACTATTTGCTTCTTAGCATCCTAATCCATTTAAAAGAACAATGTTCTTTGTCACAGATAGGTGCGATCCTTGTTCGTTCTAGAAACTAAGGGGGAAAAAGTAATTAGTCAGGTAGTTTTCATGGGGTACTACGCGGAATAATTGATCCACAGGACTGACACCACTAAAGTGGTTGTCGATTACCACTTTGGAAGATTCCAGAGAATATTTAATCGCTGTATTTCCGTTTAGACAGTTCTATAACACACTGATTTGAACCTAAAAAGGTTATTATGGATTTCTGTGTGAGCTCCTTCGTGTTCTATACCAATTAGATGCCCTCTGAAGTAATTTGATGCCAAAAATTACAGACGGTGTTGAATGGATCAGTGGAAGAGTGATCAACAAAGTGCACTATAGCTCCTCCTGAACCCTCACTATGAGGGACCACAGAAGTGTCATGAGTCCCAAGCCAAATTATTCAGCAGTCAGGTCAATAAATGTCAGTTTACCAGTCGTTGTTCATATTATGGACAACAATTACATGTAAGTCAATTACTATTGTACTATTGACTATTGGGAGTATTTGTTTTACCAAGTCACCTAGTTATCATGATAGCATGATCCAAGTTAGATACGAACCACAAGGTTCGATTTTGGCGTAGACTAGGAGTTAATACTATTCCCATCGAACTCATGTAACACCACAATCATCGACCCAGATCACCTAAGAGTGTGTCCTACCTATGCGTCCAATGCCTGATTGGTGTAGAAGACCGACGGAGTCAGTCGGAGGCCCTTTTATTTAAAGAGCTGCTTTCTGGCCCTACTCAGTAAAACCCGTTTCACATGGTTTGGATAGATGAAAACAACTTCAGTGGTGTTTCTGTTGTATATAGGCTACAAAGAAACATGTGCTACGCACATACACACAGACCTACCAAAAGTGTCCTGATAAACTTTAAGGACTCTAAGGATTGGAAAACCCACGGATAGATGTTTATCAAAGCACCCTAAAAACAGAAAGAAAGTAGTACTGTAAGTGTAATACTATACAATAACACCACAAACGTAGGCAGCATGTTAATAAAGACGAAAGTTATCAGATGCTTCTCTGCATACCGATAAAGAACTTTTGTAATTCACATTTGCTTGGCAATCGATTTCGAACAAAAGCATTCAATGGAAACCAGCAGCAAAAACCTGAAGGAAAATGACGAAATGGATGGTAAAATTTCTAAAGCTGTTTGTGGTATGTCTGATTTTAATGATGATAAACTTGATGATATTAGGGTTAATGGTAAGTCTTCATCTCAGTTTAGTACTTCTAGGCATTAATAAAGGAGAAGAATTTGGAAAGGAGACTTGAGTTAGAAAAGCAGCTTAAAATGTTAGATCTTCAAGAGGAGGTTGATATGGCCGAATTAGAATGTAAGGTCATAGAAAACGATAACCGACTGTCAGTAGACAAAGCTGAGATAGATGCTAAGGTGGAAAGGTACTTGGATTGTGATATTGCGCGTAATAAGGTAATTAACACCTCAAAATGCGATTGTATTGATGAATTAAAGGATACGTTACGTGCTACGGTTAATAATACAGTTTTGCCTAAGATCGATATGATGTTTTTTGACGCACAACCAAGACAGTACCACCGTTTTATTAGTCAGTTTACAAGCATTATAGAGAGTAAACTGTCTGACAAGGGCCAGTTGTTGTCATATTTGTCATACTATTGTAAAGGAAAGGCCAGAATGGCTATTGAAGCTTGTATTTCCTTGCCCAGTCACTTGGGTTACGATAGATCTAAACAAACTTGGTATGATCTATTTGGTAAAGAACATCTTGTTGCCTTCAATCTTATTACTGAATTACTTAGCCACAAATCTGTTGAAGGATCCGCCGATGGCCTAACTGACTTCGCAATTAGGCTACGTAATGTATGCATAACATTGAAGGAAATGGGGTATATGTCTGATGTGAATTCTACGGCTAATCTGGAAATAATTGTGTCACGTTTACCCCTGGAATTGCAGAATAAATGGGTGGAAGCAGCTGATAGGATCATGATGAACGGTAGGGAGCCGATCTTTGAAGAATTAGTGATGTTTGTAGAAGAAAGAGCCAGGATTGCGCGATCACGTTTCGGTAGATTGGTACATAGTAACTCAAGGTTCCGTAAAAGTAATTATGAAGGCCAAATTGACAGGAGATCACGCTTTAATGTAGTCAAGAGGGAACCAAGCAACTCATTCAAGGCTTTAAGTTGCGAAATATGTTTTGGTGATCACAATGAGAAAGATTGTATGAAGTTATCAAAAATGAATTTTACAGAGAGGAGGCAGGAAGTGAGGAAGCAGGGGTCTATGTTACCTAAGTTTAAGGAAAGGTCACGTAGCCAAGTCGTGTAACTCGGACATAAGGTGTGAAGTTGATAATTGTAAGATTCGGCATAATCCGTTATTACATAGTGATGCTACTAACAAACATGTGGTGAACTTTGCTAAGGATTGGAAATTCTCAAGGGTTTGTTTGGATATCATTCTGGTTAGACTATGTGGCCCCAAAGGATGTCTGGAAACATACGCTCTTCTAGATAATGCTTCAGATACCTCTATTGTATGCGAAGAGTTAGTTAATCGGTTAGGTCTTAAAGGTAAGGAGACTTCAATAAAGGTGACGACTGTGAATGGAACTTCTACTTGTGAATGTCTGGAAGTAAATTTAGAGGTATTTTCATTAGATGAGCGGGGTTCTATAAAGATCAACAAGGCCTATACGACCAAGAAACTTCCGATCGATTATGCAGAAACTTTAACCGAACTCCAGCTGAGAAGGTGGAAACATTTAAAGGATATAACCCTACCGAGGCTGCAAAGTAATCTAGTAGGAATATTGATTGGGTGTGATGCTCCAGATGCACATTGGGTCCTTGAACAACGCCTGGGAGAAAGGAAGCATCCGTTTGGTGTGCGTACTCATCTCGGTTGGATGATTTTAGGTCCTAAAGAAGCATCGAGGTCTTTACATCAAGTTCAGTGGTATCATTATTCTACTAATGATATTTTGCGAGATATAGAAAGATTATATAATCATGAGTTCGAGGATGCAGATGGGTTTCGTAATGAATATTCTCTCGAAGATAAAAGAGCTCTGGAAATAGTTAATAGTTCCTTTAGACTGGAGGGTGGCCATTTCCAAGTTGGTCTACCCTGGAAGTATGATAAGCCAAGGCTACCGAATAATTTGGAACTAGCTGAACGTAGACTAGAGTGTCTAAGGAAGAGCTTTATGAAGGATAATACTCTTCTGGAAAAATATCAACTTGTAATGAATAAACAATTAAGCAAAGGCTAGTAAGGAGGAATTCGACCGTGATGCTGTCTGTTGGTATATTCCTCATCATCCTGTTATCAAGCCTGAAAAGCCTGGAAAATTAAGAATTGTTTTTGATTGTGCAGCTGTCTATCAAGGTTGTTCTCTTAATGATCAGCTTTTGAGAGGACCAAATACCGTAAATAGTTTAATTGGTATACTTCTACGATTCAGATTATGCAACGCAGCATTAGCCGCTAATTTTGCTCTTAGGAAGACGGCAGATATAGTCGGAAAGGAATCGAATAAAGATGTCCAGGAGGTTTTAGATAAGAGTTTTTATGTAGACGACTATTCAACTTCAAGTAATAATGTGCAGGATGCAATCGAGCTTGCAAAAGCCGTTGGTTTACTCAGAAAAGGTGGGTTCAGACTTACCAAGTGGATAAGTAGCTGTTTACAGGTTCTCGAATCAATTCATCCAGAAGAGAGAGCAGAAGCCGTAAAAGAGATTGACTTTGAGAGACTTCCTACGGAACGCACATTGGGATTATTTTGGAATTTAAGGTTCGCATACCGAAATGCCCTATCACTAGGCGAGGTATATTGTCGAGTGTAGCTTCATTATACGACCCCTTGGGATTGTTAGCACCATACATACTTCCTATGAAGCAGTTACTTCAACGTTTGAGTAAATTGGGACTAGGATGGGACGAAGAGATTCCAAGTGAGGAAGGCAACCTTTGATGATTCCAAGGCTACTACCAGAAATGTATACCCTCTTGAAAACCGAGTATGTGACCCCGATGGTTTAAAACCCCTTGATGCGTATCCTAGTAAGAAGCCGGTTTGTGTAACAGATAAGATGGCTTTTTTAAGTATGGAAAAGAAAGAAAAAGGCGAAAAGGGTGGGCATCAGGATGGATCCGAGGTGTAAGATGGTAAAAGCCTCTTAACTGCTCGAAAAGCAAGGAACGGTTATTTGGATTCGAGCAAACAGAGGTTGATGAGTACAGTAAATATGAATCAGGACAAAACAGGATTGGCTGGATGGAATAAAGCTTATGTTCGGAACCCTTCACGTAGGGTAAATTATTTGACTCGACCTAGAATTGATTCTAGGACAACAAGTGTGAATAGTGACACAGCACTTCATGTTGCTGAGCAATCAGGATGTCTGCGGGCTACTTACTATATCTAGTTCTATGGAGCATCATGATATTAATGCGGAAGATATTAGCAGCTCAGCGCGTCCTGCTGATGTCTGTTCACGGTCAACGGATGGACAGTTGTATACTGGTCCAAGTAGTCATAGCAACATTGATAGTGTTAGTGAAAGTGGTAGCATAGCTTTAAAGCCTGCATGCCAACTATCTTGCAACTCGTCATTAACTATGAATAGTCGGAACATCATTGTGGACAACAATAACGTCAAAGTGGAAGTGAAACCTGATGTATCTACTAATAATAGCGTAGTTGATGTGAATAATAAACGTGATGGTAACGATAGTGGAATCACTATAGGTAGTGCTGTTTCTTCGGTTGATGTTGCTAATATAGCTTCCTTGTGTACTTCGGATCAAGATGAAATTGGATGTTTGAGCGTGGGGAATGTTGGCGTCGGTGGCAATAGCGTCAGCCACAGTGATGGCAGTACTGTGAGGGCTAACATTCGGTACCCTAGGTGCAATGAGGAGTCATCTAGGTTTCATGGACATGCTGTTGTGTTGAATATGCAGCATGACGAATCGAGCACGGAATTGTCCACCTGTCTCACTCCACCATCATTGACTTGTTCTACAAGCTTCGGGATGAGCACCACCAACAGTGATAAGATAGACGAGGCTAAGAGCATTACTAGTAAGGAAAGCAATGTTGATCGAGTAGAGTTAGCCATTGTGCATGAGTCGACTGGATGTCATGAGAAGTGTACTACTGCTTGTACAGATGCGGCTACTAATGATAATAGCATTGATGATACTCCTGCGAGTAATAGTGATCGATGGAAGTTGAAAGACACTCATCGTCGTCGAAATGATCGTACGTTACACTCACATACTGCTACCCAAGCTAAGAAGCATAAGAAACGACATGATGCTACCATTATTAAGAAGCGTAAACTTCGTTCTCTTTCGGATGCTATGACTAGCAATGGAAATAGTAGTCATCAGAATCTTAGTAGTGACAGCGATAGTAAAGAGACAGAAAGTGTGAGCAATCCATCCATAGTGACTAGTCGATCAACTTCATCGAATGAGCCTTCTAGTGTTTTGACATCATCGAACCCTGCCGCGAATGTTAAGTTGATTGAAGATGCACAAGGTTGTGTAACTGTAACTGTTCCTACTCCGGTTGACTGCCAGTCGAGTGAAGATGAGGAAGCGTCTGATGGTAACAGCCAGTCTACAGTGTTGCATGTTAACGATGCTATTGATGAGCATATATCTTGTGTCTCTGAAATGAAACATGAAGAACAACAAGTGAGTTTATCGGTTCTGAATTGCGATACTAATGCTGTTCTTTCATGTAGAGAGATGAGTTATACAACAATGGAAGAGTTTCACTCCACGGATGCTAGTGTAGCCAGAAACGACGCGATTTGTCTGACAGAACGGAATCATGTTGACGATGATAATAATCTGGATGTCACTGATGTGACAAATGAGTTGTCGACGATGACGAATGCTAATCAAACCTCCTCTGTATCAGGAGATGGAGAGTTAAATCTTGTTCCTATATTATGTTATTTGGAGTCTTCGGGAGACGAGGAAATTTCAGAATTGGAGATCCCACCCTTGCATATTATCTATCGGTCAAGAACTTCTGTTGATAAGTCAGTATCACGGGCTTCATCGTATCTGCTGTTCGGAGCAACGAGTGGTGGATTGACGACTTACCCCATGATATGGAATGAAGTTCCCGGATAGGATATGACCAGTTTTAGGACGTGTTGTACATGTTCGTGTGGGTTAATTGGATAAGGTTTATACTACCGTTAGGTCATGCTACGATAGATAAGGGAATCAAGGGCCTGATGGGAAGGTACAGGTACCTAGTTAGCTTAATAGGTCACATCCATTTTGGAGGGCCGGTAGGCATACTGCTGTAAGTCCTACTCGTTCTTCCGGTGTGGATTAAGGGATGAGAATGAACCGTAAATTGAAGTGTTAGAAAGGGCTTGTTTTGCTTAGAGGGATTTTGTGGGCCGGTGTAGAATCTATATTGAATGTTTGTTGTCGATTGCTTGTGATGCGCATACTTGGATTGTTGTTACCTATTTTTGTCGGTGAAAAGAACCAAGGTTCTTTTGATCGGGAGTGCTACGGGAGGAATTAAGACATTTGGGTGATTAAAACCTTTATGTAAATATCATTAATTTTACTGTGTATTTCTGGGTATATTTGTTTTACTTAACTTATGAACTTGTTTGAATTATTATTTTCGGCCATTTTTGGACTCCTGTTTGTTTTGGTTTGTTCGTTTGCAGTTTTTTGCTCCAGGAATCTATAGAATAGAAGAACGACATTGGTCGTCTATTTGTAATAAACGACCGACATTTTGGTCGATTATTTGTGAATCGACAATAAACTTTGGTACCTAACTTTGGAATTTGGTTTTACCTTGATTTGGGATCGTGAATTGGGATCGTGCTTCTAGGGATCAAGGAGCGAAAAATTGGACGTAACAACTTCATGTTGCTGAGCAATCAGGATGTCTGAGGGCTAGTGTATCTAGTTCTATGGAGCATCATGATATTGAAGTGGAAGATAATAGCAGCTTAGCGCGTCCTGCTGATGTTTGTTTACTGTCAACGGATGGACGGTTGTATACTACTGAATAGCCTGCAATGAATCTAATCACACTAACATCATATCACTTTGAGCATACCAATAACAGTGTCTCTGATCTTCAGCGACGGATAACATCTTAGCCTGTTACACATTTCAGATCGAGGAAACAAGAAGATAAGTTGAACTATTATTTAGGAATGAGGAGGATAAAAATTATATTTGAATAATGGTTCGGATGTCAAGGAGTGAATGAACTAAGCTTGTTAGTTGTTGCAAGGAGATGTGATGCCCCGCTTACTCTGTGGTAATCTGGTGTTAATGTATTAGACTAGGTTACCTCTAGTAAAACTATTGAAATCGGCATCAGTGTCATTGACTTGCAAAACTGTTCATTTTAGGCATTTATTTGTCGGCTCATAAATCTCCGAAACCAGTCAACTATGCCTTTTTTAACGTCCTTTAAGTGATATATTCTTTAATACAGCATCCGCTTCCCAAACTTTCAGATGATCCCACAGCTTGCTTAACAAGGAGAGCATTCGATTGATTCTGAGATCTTACAAAACCTATGCGATAATTTCTTCGCATTTCGCTATTCAGATTTGTGGAATGAACTTCTAGCAAGCTTCCGCTGCTCCGAAGTTATAACCCAGTACAACAGTCTGATTATCTCCCAGAAAGGACTTTGTGTATTCCTATCTGAATCAGAACAGCTACAGGGGTACCAGACAAAATGCACCTTATGAACGCACACGTCTGAGTTACAGTTTGTATCAAGCGCCTATCAGTCGATACTTTCCAACTTATTCACTCCTAAATTAAACAAACCACTCAAGAACTTTATTGTTTAACTTCCATATTTGCCCTCGTCTTTTAAAAGATGTGGCTGTATCAAACTGTTCCTGTCAGTGACTTGGCGTAAATGTGCTTTCATATACAGACTCTCATTTCGAATGAAACCGCGCGAACGTTTATGGTAAAGGTGGGACCATTTATGACCATTTGATCTAGCCTGGTAGGCCTCTTGTAACACGTTATTATTTGAGAATAAAGATTAGATTATTGTAAACAATAGTACGACTTCAAGTCCTTTGCAAGAATAAGTTCTAGTATCAGTTCAGCTGACTGTTAATAGATGAAGAAACATTGAATATTTATCATCATCCCTTCTGATTATTAAGTTTACGTTATTTTGACTATATATCAGGGGGATGAGAATTATGATTTGTTTATATTATCTCAGTGTTATGTATCACCCCACTTGGAGTCACAATATTGTACGCGGCAAGCATGACATTAAAATTGTTTGGCAAATATATGACGAATGAGGTTTCGATAAAATTGTGGTAACTTTCCAAAGTTTTGCATTATACTCAGACTAGTCATATGCTACCTGACAAATGCATGTATCTAAACTTTCTTTCTCCATCAGTGTGTTACACCATTCGACTTTTTATTTCCTGTACTTGTTGGATAAAAGGAAGTGTTTTCTGAAAACATTGAACAAGAACATGTGAAAGGCATTATTCGTATCATTGTTAGGTGGAAATTGTTCCCATAAATGGATTCGTAGTTCTGTGTTTCATCATTCGCACACAGTTCGGTAAGGGAGCTATTAATAATATATATTCTCAAATAACAGCGTGTTACAATAGGCATGCCAGTTTACAAGCTAGGTTAATCTGTTGCAAATGCTGCCTAATTTACTGTACAGGGTCGCACACTTAAATTGATCAAAGGAGCTTTATCTGACCGAGAGTTTACGCCATGTCACTGACAGGAACATTATGATACAAACACATGTTATCAAGTGATTACAAATGCAATAGGTGCACAACACAGTCCTCAGGTGGTGTGCATAGTCCAGGAGTGAATTGGTTGGAAAGTGTCGATTGAGAGGAGCTTGGTACAAGCTGTTTTCTCGACGACCACGTATGTGAACTGCATTTTGCGCAGAAGCATCATATTTGGTCCACCTCTGATAAGGTTCTCAGAATAGACAAAAGGGAGAGAAAAGTAAAACAAAGCAACGAGACAAACAGAGCATTGCTTAAGCGTTCATCGTGGAGCAGAAAAAGCAATGGTAAGTCAGAAGATAAACTTCACACTGACCACTGAAATTAAAGTGAATTGTAGTAATACAACCTTCAGATTAGGAAGGACAGCAATGAAGAATAGTGGGTTGTGATGTGTGTCGAGGTGGATAGAGGAGAAGTTAGAGTGCGAAGCTGAATGTCCGATGCTGGATGTTCTACCTCACAAACATGGGTGGACTGAAGTCATCGCCTTCGCCGTCAAGGTTTGCTGTTGTTAGACTCATTTAAGATGGTTGTAAGACAATATTTTTCGTCTTACTCGATGCTCTAAACCTCATATCCTAATGAGAAACGCTATTCCTTGAAGTTCCATTTTACAAGCTTGTCTGGCTGTTACAACTTATGAACTATGGGCTAGACATTCATGCAATGTAACTGCGTGTTATGAAGAAAAGAGTTCGGATTTTCAAACAAACTATAAGCATTTAGAATGTACTGGTGAAAATATGATTAATGAAGTAAGAGGGAAAGCGGAGGAATATAATAGTTTTAAATGGTTCAATAGATAACGAGATGGAATCAATCGTAAGTCAATATAGTGCATGTGAGAACATTAAAACCGATGATAGGCAGTGTGAGACTCAAAAAATTATGGGCACTGAAAGAGTTTTGACCAACCCGAACCGGGTGACAGCGTTTCTGATTTTGGATGCATGATCCATTGAGGTTAGGTGGCAGATGGTGATGTTTGAGCGACAACACGTAAGGGGAGTATAGTGTGTTCTTACCAGCCACTTACAGTTGAACATTATCAATCGATCCAGTGAGCGACCTGTTCACTTCAAGTAAAAATGTAAGATATTTGTAGCCAACTAGAATAATTTATCACTATTACTGAGAATTAGAAAAGAAAATAAAGTGAAGCACCGAATTCGATATATTTTAGATGTGTAAATAACTCACAATGTTGAAACAGGATGCGAGTTTACACATGCAGATTAATGAGTGCGAACGAGGGTTTTATTAAGAAGCTTTACAGACGCATGTAATCCATCTGTCATGCGTATTACCGAAAGAAGGTTGTTCCATATCAGTGAACACTTGGTGAGAATGATGTTTTCATGAGTTTTCGATTTACAACAACCTCCGTGCAGTAGACAGTCTTTGTTTTGAGGGACTTTCGTTCTCAGAGCTGTATGTTTTGGTTGTGGAGCTTTCATTGTCCTTCTGAACAACACAATCGTCACAGACTTCAGATGGAAGTGAAGTATTCGAATTACTCCACGTGTGATTCGTAGCTTGTTCTGTTGACCTTGATCTTGATTGGTTGTTAGTGATCTTAAACCTGTCGTTGTCTGCATCTTTATTTTGATTATATCCCCCTATGTTCTGTTTCCTGCTCCAATGTTCGTCCATGATCTTTCCGATTGTTTGAAAAATTGGGTCAATGTTGATGTGTTTGTTGTTTGATGATTCAATTGAGTGCAAAGCTTCTGAAAGTTCTCGAATGTTCTTTGTACTCCCTATCCAGCACTTCAACACTGTTCCAATCTGATGCATGTCCATAGCTGTCCGCATGTATTGATTTAAGGGGAGAAATGTTATAATAATAATAATAATAATAATAATTTATTCTCAAAAGATAAGTTACAAGAGCCACGCCAGTTTACAGGCTAGATCAAATTGTCACAAATGCTTTTACAATTACTGTAAAAGTTATAGCAGTTAAATTAAGTATAAGAGACAGTTTCTGATTGCATATTTACACCATATCACTGACAGAAACAGTATTATACAGCCACATTTTCAATATTAGAGTACAAATGAGGAAGGTGCACAATAGGTTCTATTGGCGATTGGCCGAGATCAACAGTGAATTTGTTGGGAAAGGTCATATGGAACGCGCTTGATACG